TTTTGAGGATCGCGTTGCGCTGTCAGCGCAGCGCGATAAACGCTACAGTCCTTGGAGTTACTTGTGTGTGCCTCTTCTAGTATAAAGGCAGACATACAAACCACCGACGTGTTGTTATGGCGCCTCAGATATGCGCAATAATTGTTTTTGACAATCGCACAACTATGAACGCTAAACCTTAGGCATTATTGGTGGGTGCTGCGGATTGGTTTGACCGTTTGGAGCCGTTTGAGGTATCGTTAAGGGCAGACAAACAGAAAAATGTACAGACTGACCAGAACTTTTCTGCCGAAGGTCCCCAAGAAAGACTATGGTCTTTAAAAAAAAGAGCACGAAGCAACAAATCTGGCAGATGTACAATATTGTGGTGGGAAACACGCTTATCGCATCTCCGGGGTAAAGCGCTCAGAGGCACGTGTGACGCATGCAGCGCCACCCTTCATGCAGCGTCGCATCACGGCCATTCCTTGAACGAAGGCGGACTGACGGCTCCCATAGATAAGCACGCCTTTTCACTTGCATTGAAAGAAATAAAGGGGGCGTTGTCATGAGAGACGCCTTAGCGGAGCGATTTCACGCTTTGCAGTACAAGAATGCGCAGAATCGTATGGCGAGAGTGCTTTTTAACTGAGAGGCAAGTGACAGCTACAAACGCGATAATTTTTCACAGCCAGCGTAATATCTAAAAGCTGCCATAGAATTGTCATCGGTGAACCCATGGGTGAAAGTTAGTCCTTTCGCATTTGTCCTGAAGGCATCTAGAATAAAGCCTTCAATTTCATGGGAAGGCAGAGGGCACATCTCGTCTAAAACAATGAAACATCAACGTATCTAAAAACATTAGAGTAGGCGATTAAGTAGAAACATCATGCAATGCCTGGTCGATGCGGGTTTAAAAGATGCCACATGAAATTGGTGCTACACTGTACACAATGCGAATACTTTTGTTTTGCAGATAAATGCCACCTTCGAAAGAAACGAAGGTGCGGTTGAGACCAAGAGAGTGATAAAATTAGACTGACAGTTCTGTCTACAAAATCATTGATGATTGATATCTAGGGTTTAACGTCCCAAAACCACCATATGATTATGAGAGACGCCGTAGTGGGGGGCTCTGGAAATTTTGACCACGTGAGGTTATTTACATGCTCCTAAATCTAAGCACTTGCACTTACAGCATTTTCGCCTCCATCTGGCTACAAAATGAGCCTCGCCACTTTCGTCAGTGTACTTATTAACAGTGGAGATGAGCTCAGGATGTGGAACAGAATAAAAACGATCATTTACGTTCACAGAAAAGGGATACCCAGCGTTGGATGCCCTGTGTTGAACAGAAAAAATTCAACGTCATCTGAATTTTTTAGTAGGTAAAGGTAAGGGTTATATACAACAAAGCATTTGAGAAATTTTTTCAAAAAACCGCATACATACTGCTTACACTGCGTGTACGAAAACCCGCTTACATGTGTTCCACGCACTATTAATCATTTGGAACGGAATATCGATCTTGTGGATTTTAGCTCTAAAATTGCTACCATACTATAGTTTTTGGACTTACAGATCTGTTTCGACAATCGCTCAGCCCCAAGTTTTTCAAACAGTTCGCTTTTCTCAAGATAACTTTCACACCCTTGAAATTGTTGTTAACAGCTTGGAAGGATTTCTCATTAAAGACACAAGAAGATATAACCTCAAAACCACCTTCTTTGTCAGATTGCATCAGGCAAAGGTCATTGTCCCTGAATAAAGACACCACACGAAAGAACACATTCACATGTTCCTGTTCTGGGTGCACATCTACGAAGACTGTCAACACCATCCAATGAGCACCTCCCACGCTGATCTGTGGAAGCTTTGCTTGCTGTCCTTCAGTATAGAGCCAGTGGCTCATGTGCGGAATCATCCACCTAAATTCCAAACGCGGGGCCTTTGTTTTCCGCTCCAAATAAATTGGCGCAGCTGTGCCAGTGAATCTCTCGTGCTAAGCCACAAGGGTGGCAAAAGAAACATGTGAAGTCTTTCAGCCATTGTGCCGTAAGGGTCGTCTACGAGACTCCCCTGAGCTGTGGCAAGTTCTATATTGGACAAACGGGCCGGCGTAATAATGACCACCTAATAAAGCATGCGAATAGCTTAGAAAAAAAAAAACAGACGGTGTGCTTCTTCCGGCGCATGTAAAGTCAAGTGCATGTGAGCCACGATTCACGCAAGTCAAGATCATATCGAGAGCAGAGATTAAATGGCGAGGGAGCTATGAGAAGTGTTTAACATTCGAGGGAAGGGTCCGCTTGTCTCAGTGACACATACATGGTGCCATGTGGACCCGACTTAGCTTTTTTTTTCCTTTTTGATACATCTTTCCGCCGGTTGACATTTATGTCGTCTCTTCACGTATCTACGCACGCTCGGAAGTTTACTTGACTTGCATCATTTGCGGTCAATAAGCCGTTAGTAGTTGTCGCTCATCTGTCTTCATTCTTTTCCCGTCTTCATGTTCCAAGCAGCCCCGCCGCGGTGGTCTAGTGACTAAGGTACTCGGCTGCTGACCCGCAGGTCACGGGTTCGAATCCCGGCTGCGGCGGCTGTATTTCCAATGGAGGCGGAAATATTGTAGGCCCGTGTGCTCAGATTTGGGTGCACTTTAAAGAACCCCAGGTGGTCGAAATTTCCAAAGCCCTCCACTACAGCGTCTCTCATAATCATATGGTGGTTTGGGGACGTTAAACCCCACATATCAATCAATTCATGTTCCAAGCATTGCGTCACAAATGGCAGCAAATGCGCGCATCGTCCAACTCTACTAGCAAGAAGTTCTTCGAGCATGCAAAATACTCGGAGCCCAGAAGTGCAAAGAAGTGCAGTTCTCGAGGCACGCCGAACACATGCGCATATGTGGGCGGCGTTTCTCAGTGTCGTCATCTTTATCATAATTATATGTCATGACCTCTGCAGTATGAATTCCTCTTCCAGTTATTCGCAACCACCCCTGTCTATGGTGAGCTGATTCCATTCTGTGCTTCAGAATTTCGAGCGCCTCACCTAATCCATTGCTTCTCTGCTGCGCTTCCCATCTTTCAGTGTCCAATCCGACACTCTACTAACGATCCGTTTTCATAATGTGGCCTGTTTAGAGGTTTATTTTTGCTCCTAACATCAAGGATATCGGCTAGCCCCTGTGTCTTTGTTTTGCCCATATTAGGATTTTTTATGTTTTTATTATATATTTGTTAACGAGTATTTAATTATTATTTATTTACAAGTTTTGTCGAATTCCGCATGAGAGGAGGAGCCCGGCTGATTGGTCTGAAGTTCTTGAAGTTTTTCGCGTCTCCTAAAAAAAACATACTATTGTTTTTCAACTCGCTGGTTTATTCTAGTTTTTGGTATAATGGGGAAAGGGTATCAATCTTCTTGAATATACACTATCGTCCCTCTATGGTCAAATTGGTTCTTATGCCGTCTTCTCCGGCCGCTTTTTTTTCCGCGGTAAATGTCCTGGTGGGCTTTTGTAAGCTCACGTATATAGTTGAGCTTGCTACTTCAGTGTCATGTTTGACTGCGCTTTCGCTCGAAATCGGAGAATTTATATTTGAGCTGTATGGTTAAGAGCAAAAATCCTTAACTATCTTCCCAATATCAAGAAAGTTGTTAGTATCAAGGTCCCTCCAATATTGGCAGGCAAGCATAATGGTTGTTATCATGTATAGTTTCAGCTGCCTTGTGCCACCGTCACTTTTCTACCACTCCCTCTGTTTCGATTGTCCCTAAGCCAACCTATTTTGCAATTCGTGACGCGTGGATGTTTAGCGAAAGTGAAGTGAAGCGTGGTCTAACTCTATGCCCTAAATAGCATAGAGTTAGACCACGCATTGCGAGCACATGTACTTGTCAGTTTGCAGCCATTTAAAGTAAAGTACTGCAAAAGAGTGGCTACTTGGGCTGGTTGGTATTGCATTTTTGAAAATAAATATACTCTCCTAAATGTTTCAGTGCTATCTGTCTCCTTTCTGAAATGTTCTCTGCGCACTAAGAGAGTACATTTCTTTCAAAAATTACTGCAGAGAAGAGATGCAGTGTTTTGATTACGCTCAATACGTTTTCGCGGAGAGCCCACGCCCGAACATGCTGGCCCACCCAGGGCACCTGAATAGCCGCGTCGTTCTTCATCGCTGCATATCAGAGGTGGCTTCCGCATCTGCATGCATTCGCGACCATTACACTCTCCTTGGCATGTGTTAAAACGACACGGATGGCTTGTGTACGAGCATCGGTGCATCGCACTCGACAAGCGCGCGCATTTACCATTCAAATTAAGTGTGCACCTCTCACATTTGTTGGACGAGTTGTTGCTTATCTAATGAGAAGCACGGTGGCGGCAGCCGATCGGTTCCGTGCGCCGAAGCCGCCCTTCGCAAAAATGTGGGCGTCGACGTCAACAAAAACACCTCACCGGCAAAAGATTGAAGAGGAAGCACGACTGCCACCACGACGACCCCAAAAAATTGTGACGTCACGAGTGCGCTCGTAATTCCACTTTACTCCACGGCCGCCGCTCGATAATGATCTCTCGCTCAAAAGAAAGAGAAGAAGCAAACCGGTTTCGCATTGCTTTTTGTTTTTCTCTTTGCCCACTCGCATCAAGGCATCCTCGCGGCGGTCCGAGCGCACCACAACAGGTTTTTTCGCTTCGGCGTTGGCCAGTTTCAAAATAACTTACGAGCTCGCCAGGCACCTGACTCAGCGACGTGTCGAAATGCGCGCTTTGGCCGGCAGGCCGTGATCGGCGCGCGAGTGTGTGCGCGTGTGTGCTCAGCCGGCCGTGCTAGCGATTCGTCGGCGCACCATGGGCCCCGGCGCCTGAAGCGGCGTCCCACGCGAGCTTGACCAGCGGCCAGTGCCTGCTGCTTGAGCCGCTCGCAAACGCGCACGCCTAGCGCGCGCGCGCGCGCGCGCGCCCGGCAGCGCTTTTATTTGGTGCTGCGACCTCGCGGCGACGCCGAGAGCTACTCAGTGCGCCATGCTAGCCGCCCTGACCGGGTTGTGGCTCTGTGGCGTCTGGTTGGGTTTCGGATCCGCGGCCCTGACCAGCAATGAAGTCACTGACAACCTGCTTGTGGATACACTCGGGCTCAGCGGCATTGAACCGTAAGTGTTTCTTGCCTCCACCCTTCTACCGCTGTCGGATAGGCCCGTGGGCGCGGAGTTGCATGCCATCACGCGTCCCCGCCGAAGAAGTTTTAAGTGAAGCTTTATTTTTTGGTGATTCCGTTATCGGCACTGGCACTGTTGTTGACAGATACCGAGCGATCCTTCAGCAACAGTGTTGTCCTGCAACGCGCGATGCTATTTGAAGTTTGGGCGTGGACATCCGCGTGCTTGGAACGTGGTAGACCTACGGTGCAAGCTGTGGTTTCAGCCGAGATTCATGAAAAATTGTGTCACACAATTTTGCAGTAGTTTCGAACAGGCTAGTTAGGAATAGGTAGTTTGTGACGAAAAGAACGTTTAACAATGCAAATAGAAGAGCGCTTGCCAAATGGGTTGCCAAATGGCAGCAAGTGTGTACAATCTATGCATATAAAGCATGAATACGAACGCCTCTTAGGTTATTAATCTCCGTCGATGACAATAGCGTGTGAAGTCGTATGCAGGTTGCCTTTACACTGGACATGACATCTTGTTTTGACTAATTATTTGAATGCTTGTTAATGGGTTCCGTGAAGATATGACCGTATTTCACATGCAATCATGAAATCTTGCCACAAGTGAGCAAGCAAATTTCCCCTATTGTAATGCCTGAATGTAAATGTATAGTGAATATCTCAGTTGATCAAAACTCCAGGCGTTATTGCCAGCATGTTCTTGACACGCTCGTAGCCTCTTCCTTCGTTTTATTCCATTCACCACAACGCAAACGCTGTTTTTCTGACGGCAGTGCACAGAGTAGTCTGTGAACGGGACTCACTACATTAAGAAACCAGTGCATACTAAGACTTTATCAACATCTCTCTCGTACAATGCACCAGCACAGCACTCGTTACGTTCGAAGAGTGAATCAAATCAACGCGTGCTTTGAACGCGTATGTTGTGTCGCACACAATGGATTCCTATGCAGCTGTGCAGCGGATATATCGCTACGAACACCTGTCAGCGCTGTCACAATGGGCGCTCAAAGTGCAGCGGCGCTTCCGACAAGAATACGTCGAGCAAGCGGGCTAAGCGGCGGCCGTGCGTCCGCGACGCGCCGCACTTCATGGGCGGATCCTTCGGCCGTTCGTTACTTTCGCGTTTACTCATCGCCGGTGTGAAGGACGCGTGCCGCCACGGACATAAACGACGTTGTTTTCCTTTCGCCGACCGCTGTCCAGCGCTGTTCAGCCTCCTCTATGACGGCCAGCGCCCAACGATGGCGCGGCCCCATGCTAGCCGGACCCCGCTGACCCCTTCGCTCGTTGCTCTGTTCACTGCTGCGGAACCGCTCCCCGGTCAGCGCCAGCTCGAGAGTAGAAGCCGCCCGAGAAGCTCTGCGAGCGTCACGCCGAGTCTAGTTTCATTCGGTCCGCGCTGCTAGGGAGTAATTTTGAACGCGAGCGCTTTCGCGCCAAAGGGCGCAGGGGCACGCCCGCGGTGGTCGCGCGGCGCGCCGCTGAACCGCCGCAGCACCACCTCCCGCCGCCCGACGCAGAACAATAGTGAGAACGGAGGAGGCGCGCCTTCACCCTCTCCCCGCGGCTCGGGTGTACTGCAGCTGACAGTTGCAAGGTATACCGACGCAGCTTAAAGCGTTGCTGCCACAGACAGTCGGTAACGGAACGCCAAACGATGCATAGTCAAAGGCAGCGACAGAAATGTGTACGCATTGTTTCCCACCACAGTTTTGAAGGGGAGTGATGCCCATGTTCGTTCAACGAAGTATGTCGCTCCGCTGACAGCCGAACGATGGTATATGGCTCAATACACAGCAGTGTCTGAATTGTGGGGTCAACATTTATTGCGGCATTCATTACTGAATACTAGCAGAATGAACATTAAAACAATCATGTTTGTATTACGTTGTGGTATGCAGCTGCTGAATCAAATGCGCTGGACCGTGACAAAGCGATATCAAAATATTCGAAACATTTGTTTGATGATAAGCACAAGTGAGGGAGCACACGAAAGTTTTGATGGGCGTCAACCTGATATCTGTTGGCCTCACTGAACCGTCATCATTTTGCTGTTTGTGTATGCTTAAACTACTTCTTATAACTACCTCAGATAAATTACACCTCATAGTTATACGCTGTAAAGCTCCATCGTTGTCGAAGACCTAAGTAGCTATATAAAGAACTGTTACGCTTAAAAACATCAACATATACATGTCGTTGCCAGCTTGTATTTTTGCCTGAACTATACTCTTCGAAAATAATCACTCCAATGTCAAATAACCTTATTAATTATACGGACAGGGGGTATAGATTTCTGCTGACAAATCACTCTTATAAAGCGTCTGAAGAATCCGTTTTGACTGGTTAACATTTTAGTTATAGACTTTAGGGCATCTCTAGTCAGGCATTAGTGAGATCACCAAACTTTGTAAAGATGGCTATTTTAATTGTGTCTATTGCGTCTCACGATACACACTGTTTGAAAAACGATATCATTTTTTTTCATTACCGTACATTTATGAAACAGTTTATCATGCTCCGGAGCGCGCCCTAAACATAATAATGGTCGTGCTATATACAGTACAACTGCTTGTATGCCTATTTAGCGACCATAAAAATATAATTTGCCATTGTGATCAAATGATACATTGTACTTTTTATTTCATACAGCTGCAAAAGCACACTTCTCATGTGTTTTCCGTGCCAATTAGGAAAAAAAAAGCTTGTTCAAATAAAAAGAAACATCAGCTTCTACGCTACCCTTCACAGGAAGCTGACGTATACTTACAATGAACGATATACCGTTTAAAATTTAACAGGCATGATTGCGATGATTTTGAAATAATTAATTTTTCGTTTGACACACACCTCAGAGGGTCTTTTTCGAGTGCACTGTTTTGCCTCCGCGTTGATACATATTTGTGGAAGCGGGGTTCAATTGTGCTGCAACCAGTGGCCCATGAGCTCTTTCCTTAGTGGGCTTTATGACACTGCAAACACCATTCGCTGCTTTATTTCGCCGGCTGTACAGCAGCGGACACCGCCGCTAAAGGCTTCGCATACTACAGAAACTATTGTTAATTTCTAAATAATGCCCAGAGCCTTCGCTATGGTTTCTCACAGAAGTTAGGATCATCATCTCCTTGATTATAGCTTACGATAAAGTGTTCACGCTGCACGAGGACCCAAGGCTCAGAGCGCAACGCAGTGGTAGCTAAATATGAGCACGTAATCAATTCGACGAAGTGACACACGCTGTGGCTGTGAGATCATTTGTTTTACAGGCGGTCTTAATGCTGGTTTTAGTGACGGAATGAAGGGCTTAAAATGTGCCACATTTTCTCTTTCTGTATGATCTGGCGAACTGTAATGGAGGTGGTCTATATGCAATCCGCAGCAACGGTTGCGTCCCCCTTTCTTTCGTCGGCAGCACTTCAACGGCACCAAAAACCTCTGTGCGTAGATACACTGACGAAGTATAAAGGACTTCAAGCACGGCTCACTGAAGCCTCTTAAAAGCGACCTCAGCGATTCTGACATAGCTCATATGCGCAAGAAATATCTGTACGACAGGTCAGGTTGAGAATCTATCTTTCACATATATATCACCCTACCTGAGTCATCAAGGACCTCTTCCTTACGCGAATATATACAGCCCAGTTCAAGGAGTGTCATCTATCTTCATGAATATATTTTTTTTATTGCTACTACCACTATAACGAGACTACACTACATTACGCTTGTTATATCTTGAAGCGAGATGGTGGAGAACATATACTGTGTGATGCCAGGGCACGGGAAAGAACCCTATAGGTGGTCGAAATTTTCAGAATCATACGGCGTTTCCCATAGCCCGAGTCACTTTGGGACGTCAAACTCTAGAGACCAACCTTGTTATATTATTGGAGTCTTGTCACGAGCCATTAGTGAGCAACACCATGCAGGCTAAGTCACGACAGCTTGCATGCTCGGTATAAATCAGAGATGTGTTCTCTTACGTCTATATTTATGTTTTCGGCTGTTCTTTCACTCACTCTTTAACGTCGTCAATGCGTTTTTAAAGCTTGACTTTCGTTGTCCATATATCCAGTCATGAGTACGACGACAGATATCTTACATTATGTTACATATGAGTAGTACGTTCCTGCTTCTGCAAAGTGGCATCTAAAAGGGTTGTGCTTTTGGCACGGCGTATTCTTTTCCGGTTGTGCATATCCTGCTCAACATGTGCTTTGTTCCATGTACACGTGCAACCACATGTGAGTGCCGTGCACGTGGTGATGCCGCATTGTCCATGCCAATCAGGTTTATCTGTGTCAGTCAGGTGTATCTGCCCCCAGCTTTTCTTTGACAAGTGCTTCTTGTGAAGAAATACTTTAAGCCTTTTGAGTCGACGCATCGGTTAACATACGTGGAGAAACTTTATTCTCATGCTAAAGGCTGTATTTATGGATGCGTTGAAATGCCACCATGTTTGGCTGTTAGCCGTTTTGTATTTGCATCGACTAAACAAACTATATAACAGTGCCAGCTAGATAAGTTTATACGTATGAAAATGGATGGTCAGGCGCATTCGCCATTTTATGGCCTTGTTTACTTCACGTCACGACACAGAAAACCGAGAACGTTCGTTTACTACCCCTACACGTGGCGACGCCCATAAATCAAAAATAGAACCATGTATCGAACGCGCCATCAAATAATATTAATCATGGTGAGTGCTTTGACATGTGTACCTGTTCTGGTCCCGCCACGTTTCTCTATAGCTCCATCAGCTTGAATTTCTTAATAACTAGGAAAACTCCTTTATATAAGACGTGCTATAACACCTACGGTATATACGGAATATCATATCAAGCCAGTGTGTGCTATACTTATGAGACGCAGTTGATAATTTGCAAGCTCCTTATGCTGCATTCGCAGCATTTTTTTTTCTCACACGCTGACACGAATTTTTTTTCTGACATGCTTACACAAGCTTGCTTGTGTAAGTCCACG